CCCCCCCCAGGCGCCCGGGAGTCTCTAAAGGTTGGGGACCACTGCTCTAGACGTATGCCTTACATAGTATGTCAAGAACCAATAACAATGCAATTCTGATACACAAAGCAGACTTACATTCTCTTTTATGAGGTTGGTTGATTGCCACAGGACTCCTTGTCGCTTTTGCAGATCCAGACTAATACGGCTACCCCTCCGATACATTTTTGTTTGTGGCATTTTTTGGAAAGGTTGGGGACCACTGCTCTAGACGTATGCCTTACATAGTATGTCAAGAACCAATAACAATGCAATTCTGATACACAAAGCAGACTTACATTCTCTTTTATGAGGTTGGTTGATTGCCACAGGACTCCTTGTCGCTTTTGCAGATCCAGACTAATACGGCTACCCCTCCGATACATTTTTGTTTGTGGCATTTTTTGGTGCTGGTTCATCTGTTTTGTAGAAGAGGTAGTTTGGGGTTGGATCTCTAACCTGTAGGTGCAGAGGAGATGGTGTTAGTGACTAAGTTGGCTACCCCTCTAAATTAAGGTTGTTGATGTTAAGGCCTCAAGTGCAAATGTCCACTTCATAAATGTTTTTGTTTTGTCTGTTTAAAAATGTTTGTATAATAAGGGACTGATATCCTTGGCTTGATCCTGAATTTTGAATTCAGAAATAGAGAACTAATGTGTGGATCTACATCTCACTGTAAAGTTTAGCGGAAGTTTCTGTTTATTGTTGAATCTCCTGATAGAGCTCTATTTTAGGTTAAAAATCTGTTTGCTTCCGCAAAAAAAAAAAAAAAATTCTTAACTCCTGCCTAGGTTGTCTTCTCAGAGGATTTCAAGAGTAGTTTTATCAAGATTGCCTTTTCCAATTAGGAAAAAAATGGCTTTGTGTAATTATCCATTTCTCTAGCAGTCGTTCAAGGACATTCTCATCATAAATAGCCCACAAACCCTCTTCTGTTTTTTAATTTTCAAAAGCCCTGCCTGAAAGTTGTGTAGGATATTTTAACACATCTATTGTTTGGAAATGAAGGAGGAAAGTATATGTTATTTTACTATATGATCAGGATTTAGTGTATTGGCATAAGACAACTATAGATCAAGTGGGCAGTTTGGAGAGATTTATGTGTGACTAGTATTATAATCTACAAAAGTGTGCTGTGACTTTAGTAGATCTTCTGTGAGGGCATAGTGGGCCTCCCTGTGCAGATGGAAATGTAGGTACTTGTAGTATTGAGAACTTCTATCCAGAGATCCATTCCTGCATGCTTTTATACAGACAAAACACTTCACTGACTGTAGTGGAAAGTTTTCCTAAAGTAAGGCAAGTAGACTCAAGTCTGAATTATCTGCTAATTATTTTATAAGATCTTGGTTGACAAAGGAAATGTTTTAATTACATCTTGTTTTCTGTGCTCTTCTACTATAGAACAGAGAGCACAAGCTTACACTTGCTCTGCATTGATGGGATGAAATAATCCACTCAAATATCTTTAAAAACAATGTGTAGTCCTGTGGCACTTTAGGGATCAACAACAAATATATAGCATCTAGGGATATAAGCGACTATCCAATAAGCATAAACTAGTCGTTTCTTCCCCTCCCCCCCCCTTCCGCCCACTGCCTCTATCAGGAGCCAGTGCAGTTGGCTCTTAATACATTTCAAAGCAGAAGTGCAGCAGTGGGGACAAGGTGTGAGCTGGGAAAAAATTTAAACTGGTGTGCAGCACAGGGGACCCGCCGCAAGCCAGGGCAGCTGATTCCTGGCTCATGCTGGGTCCCCGAGCTGCACACCAGCCTTCTAAATGTATCAAGACCCTCCCAGGGCTGGGAGCTAACCTCGTTGCGGCTCCCCTGCTTAATCGACTAATCAACGGAAATTCCATTGACTAGTCAATTAGTTGATTAAATTTAACATCCCTATTAGAATCATGAGCTTTCATGGGCAAAATCCTCTTCATCAGATGAATTGGAGTGTAAATAACAGAAACCAAGATACACATACATACACACGGACTGGATGTGTCCCATTCATAGCTTTTGATGTGAAAATGAAGATGTTAAAGGTAGGAGAAATTGGGTTTGTAATATCTTTGAAATCCTTTCAGTCTTTTCCTTTTTACTTGAAAAATGACAGTGCAGTCTGTAAATGGCTCTTTGGGGGATAAATGTGCCTTGCAACTGCAGCATAGCACAACCGGGGGCTGAGGAGTTTGTTGAATAGAACAGATTTTTTTTTTTTTTTAAACTAATATATCCATCTAATAAAAATACGAGTTGCCAAATAGTAGCCTTTTTAAAAGCCTTTCCAGGAATATTATTTTAGCCATAACTTCTTTGTTGTGCTCCCTTAACTTGAACAGTGTTTGATATTTCCCTCCCCTGGGAGACTATTACAGTAAGAGTTTGTTTTACTTAAGGAAGATTTATTCATTGCAATCATTGGCTAACATTATATCCCTTTTAAGTAACTCACTCAGGGCCTTGTCCTTCAAGGTGCTGAATATCCTCTGCTCCCATTGGAACCTTTGATGTTTTGCTTCTTTGCACTATTTTTAAAATGAATCTAATAATTCATGTAACGCCAGTAGAAATAAGTTTAGGACCGGGAATAAAGCATCAAAAATATTTTAGAACAAGTCTAAGAAAATCTTTCAGATGCCCTAGTTATTTACATAAAACATCTTTTTACTCCTGCAGAATAATTAACTTTAAATGCTGTAAGACTTGGATTTAGCCAATTAAAAGATTATTGCAACTTTTCTATATAGTGTGATCATGTAGGGTCAGAAGCAAGAAATGAGCTGAAGGGTTGTTTCATTATCATCTCTCTAGTCTGGACATATTTTTAAATACAGGTCTTCTCTCTTCATTTGTGCCAGAAGTTCGAAGAAAAATGCATTGCCAGTTGCAGTGGAGAAACGTGATCAGTGAAAAATTCCCTCTTGGTCCCTCAGAGGGAGTGAAAAGGATATTAATTATTTTGAACCCATCAGAGTCCATGTAGTTACTGTTTAACACTGCTCACTTTCCTCACTCTCAGTAAGATAGTATTTCTTTAAAGTAATTTTACATAAATTCTTCTTTCACTTAAATAGGCCCCCTAGTCCCACTGTGCCTGCTAACATAAAATAGATCACCTGGCTTTATAAGACTTATCAAATGTAGTTCATATATTTTAGTCACAGTGTCTCTGAATCCTCTTCCCTCAGGAATAAGTAATTCTACCTAATTATTTTTACTAAGATTAATTCTGAAAAAATATTGCCTAGGTCAGAAGACGAGGTTTAGCTTCATAGTTATTAAGGTAGTTGCATTTGTAGAAGCTTATTTTAGGGCTTTTTCCAAGCAAATTATTTTTAAACTATTTCTTTCTGTCTCAGCCCTCTGAGGGTGCGTCTACACAGCACCCTTACCTCAAAATAAGCTATGCAATTTGCCCTGTGCAAACTGCATAGCTTATTTTGAGGTAATTTTGAAATTTGGCGCGGTCTACATAGCACCAAATTTTGAAATAAAGTGCTATTCTGACAAGTCCCACAAACCTCATGGAGTGAGGGTTACAGGCACACTGGAATAGTGTGCCTGTTATTTCAAAATAACAGGCACGTTTAAAGATGTGGAATTACTATTTCGGGTTACTTCTGGTATCCCGAAATAGCCCCGCTGTCTGGCCGTAGCCTGAGAGTGCATCACTGTCTCATCCCCCACTCTCCAGCTATTCAACATTTGGGGGGGGGGGAGAGAGAGAGAGACCCCAAAAATCCAACAACTGCAAAGCAGATTTCTGAATCAGACAGCCCTTGTGGCAGTCTAGTCAGTCATGAATGGGAGAACTGTGCTAAAGGAAAACCGGGAAGAAGGGAGATAATGGGGAAACAATGATGTGCTAAAAGTATGGCTTGACAGCAGCAGTAGACTGAGGACTTCTTGGCAAATGCAGAGAGTTGAGAAGAGGCAAGTCTGGTAATAACATTAATCTCTTTTTCCTCAACATGTCCTGCTATAACAAACAAAGACGGTCTTGGGCTTTTAGGAGAAAGGCAACATGTATGCTCATTTCTTCATGGGAAGAATTAATCTGTGTGTAAACTTCATTGTATGATCTAAAGCTATAAATTGGACAGTGCTTTTCCATAATTAGCTTGGATCAAGATGGTACCCTAAATGCTAGGACCTGGCAAGTGTTCAAAAGGGAAATGTGGCCCAGAGCTGAGCAAGGAAACTGTATTGTAGAGCTCTGTTATTGCTTGTTTAGCAAAACCTAGTTTAGAGTCCAGAAACTCTCACTTTCGGAAGACAAAGCTTTACTGGTGAGGCACTACTGTTCATTCTTAGGCCACATGTATCTTAACCTTTTCAGGTATAGAGGGTCTTGGCCATTGTTTAAAACGCAGGAAAGAACTGTGCATCTCTCTCCCACAAAATAATCAAGGCTAGGGGAAAACCTTGCATTCTTTTCATTGATGTGGTCTTGAGCATATTATGTAATGCAGCCCAGTTATGGTGGGTTATTTTGTTTTGTTCTTTTGGTCATTAGGATGGTCTGTGGTGTATATTGTTAGACTAGAAGTCAGTCTTCACTTCTGCTGTGTTTTTTTGTTTTGTTCTTGTTTTGTTTTTGTTGTTCCCTTTGACAGTTTTGATCAAAAATCATTCTTGCTGGCTTACAAGGACAGCAGGAACTGCAGCATCACTCCATTTTAAGCCTGCATAGTATTAGCCAATACATTGGTTCCACATGCTGCTAGGGTGGAGGCATCATTTAAATTCCCAGCACAGCCAGTCAGGCCAGGAATTGCAACCCCGTGGTAAGTGGCAGTGACTTTCTAGTTCTTGATTACGTTATGCTAGAAAAGAGGATTGTTCCCAGAGCAATTTACCCAAAAGAAATAATGGAAATAGAGTTCCAGGATGACCTTACACCCCAGTGATCTAGTTGGCTGGAGTCAATTATTACTCAGCTTCTCCACCATGGAGACTGCAGTAGTCTCATGCGTTGTCATCACTACTATGTGGGTAGATTCTGAGCTCACTGAGCACTTTATATGAGGCTATGGAGGTGTGTGGGTGGTGGAAGAGGCATTTATGTATGTGAGCAGAACAAAATATGCTTTTTACCTGAGATAAGTTTGGTCCTATTATTGCAGGTTTTAAACTTAATTTTTTCAGAGCTTTCTTCTTATCCAACACACTATTTTTTCAGAGCCATTAATCCTGCAATGTGATATAAAGGCATTCTTCTAGGGCACTATAGCCTGGGATCCAAGGAAGGACTATTGTAGAAAACCTCTGTAGTCAGTCAGACCTGTAATTCTGTTTCATTTCAATACACAGCGCTGGAAAAGATTTTCCTAGAAATGTGTAATGGGTCTGTCAGAAAACACTGCACTCC